TCTGCGACCCGATTCCTGCTGTCCTTCTCCACTGCCTTTATCTTCACGTATTCCCCTTCCCCACCACAGCTCTTTACCTTCTCTTTCTCTGCTGGCTACTTTTCCCAAGGATATGCTTGAATGTATTCCACCTTAAGAACACACAGAGAAAAAAGGAACCCTCTCCCTCCACCTTCTGAGTCCTTATCAGCTACCACACTCCCCTACTCGCTCCCTTTCATGGCTGGGCATTTTAATCAGCCATATGGGAGTCCAGCTCCCTAAGGACCAAGCCACCTGCTGGCCTGGCATTTTGAAAGAATAGGCTGTCTTGGTATTTTTACTGCCACCTCTCTTCAACTCATTGCAATCTGGCTTCTCCCTATCCCCGACGTCTCCATTAGGCCACTAAGTGTTAAATCAAAGGGAAGTTCTCAGCTTTCATTCTTGACCTGTCTCTGGTTATGTGACGCTCTAGGCCCCTCCCTCTCTCTGCAGACTTCCTCCTGGAACCTGCGTGACACCACGTTCTCCTGAGTCTCCTGTCTTTGGCCATCCTCTGTTTGGCTCTTCTGCTAGTTCTTCTCCCTCCCTATTACATGTGTCTGCTCCCCAGGAGTCTGTTTTGACTCTCTGTTTTCAGCCTTCTTCAGAGTCTCTGGATTCCCATGGCTGATGGTCTCTAATGTCTCCAGGTAGCTCTCCTACCTGGGCTGCGAACTCATCAGGAGAGCCGACAACCCCAAGGTGAGTGTCACTTTGGAGATGCCAAAAAGCACTGAATGTATAATAATAGTGAGATCATCTTCCTTCCTTTTTTCTTTCCTTCGTTATTTCCCTTTTTCTTTCCCTCCCCTCCCTCTCTCATTCCCTTCCCCCCACTCTCTCTCTCAACAAAGTTTATTTTAGCAAGACATGGGTTCTAGAATCATGTAACATTCCTGACCAAAACTGGTCCAGAATCTCCCCGACCTGGACATTCTCACTTAGATGTTCCCTTAGTGCCTTACATTAAGCACGCCTCAAACACAGTTCACTGTCTCTATCCTGCTTTTTATTGTTTTGCCTCACTGGCAGCATCACTGTTCCATCAATCAAAAAGGTCAGAAACCTGGACCATCTTGCCTCCTAAATATTTCTTTTTTTGAGAGGTTTTTGCTATAGGGTGATTGCGCTCGCCAGAAAGACAGAGAGACAGAAAGCGAGAAATCACCCCCTGGGGGGATGGCCACACTGCAATCCCTTCTCCTCCATTCTCCTCTTGGGGTCTTAGGCACCTCCTCCATTGTCCTCTTGGGGTCTTGGGCACACACACGCGCCTGGCGTGAGGCGTGAGTTTAAGCCACCGGGTCCAGGACTTGAACTGTGGTCGACTACGTGGGAGTCTAGCTACATAGCCATTGCACTAACTGCTGTGTCCTAAATGTTTCTTGAAGCTATTCACACTTTCCCTCCCTGCTGCCTCTGTCCTAAGTCAGCTTCATCCTCTCTTGCCTGGTGTCAAAATAGTCTTTCTCATGAGGAAATATAACCATGTCACTTGTTTCCCCTAAGTAAAATCCAATCTTGTCACTATTGTGTAAAAAGCGTTTTGTGATTTGGTCCCACTTTTCATGGCCAACGTTTGCCCAGCCTTTTCTACAGCCATGCTGAGCTCCTTGCCTTTCCCTGGATCTGACGTGCTCTCTCAAGCCTTCATGTTTTTGTACACACTGTTTCCTCCACCTGGAGTGCTTTCACCCCCTTGGCAAATATCTTCACACTCTTCAAGTTTCAGCTTGTGTTCCCTCCTCTGTGAAGTTTCCTCTGACGCCACTGGGCTCATGTGGATGTTCCCATCTCTGATGTTCTGATTACATTTTGAACATACCTCCACGATCACAATAATTACACTGTAACTCAATTGTTAGGACATTTGTCTCCAATTAGACTCTAATCTTGAGGGCAGAGCCTATCTTTCCATCTTCACTTTTCCTGCATGTAGATACACTAACCCGCCTCGGAATCCAATGCACCAGTGAGTTCCTCCCCCTGCAGGTTTGTCTCCTCATTTTGCCCAGCAGAGGGAGCTATGTTGCCTCATTGCTTATACACTACTATACTCATCCCACACTGAGCTCCACCTGAGGCGAAGGGCTGAGCAAGAGAGATCTGACTAGCCTTGTCAATTTTTCGTGATTTCACAAAATTTTCAGAAAATCCCTTTTAAAGGTTAGAGTCTCCCAAACTAAATAAGTCCCAAGCATGAATGTTGATGTTTAATTGAATTTGAAACCTACATTTCAACCCTAGCTGGAGAGAAGTAACTGAGAATTTATAAACGGAATTACTTGTAAAATATGTGCTAGCTATGTTTATTTTAAAACAGATGTTTATTAGCCCAAGAATTGTTTATTTATGACACCTAGACCATTATATTTTGAAATGAAAGGCACTAGAAGGAAGGACTATAAGATGTAGAATATCACGGTTAGTTAAATAGGAAGATAAAGCAAGATTGTTAATAGTAAGAACATATCTTATGCATTGGAATGTCCAAAACAAATATTTCCAAATAGGCAAATAATAAAAAAATGTAATATATTTTGGCCAGGGCCACATATTAGTAATAACTCCAGCATTTATGTTAAAGGGAGGGTATACAATTTTTACAAGAATGGCTCATCTCTATTAATGTGGTACTTCATAGAAACTTTAACAAAAGGCTTTTTGTATCAAGTACAGAAAGACAATGTTAGCTTACTTCTTCTTCACCAAAATACATATTAAAGATGACTAACACAAAATGACAGTTGGTGAATACAGTTTGTCTTGCCTAATTTCTCCTTGTTCAGTCTCATGACTTAGGTCTTAATCTACATCGCCTAATTTAAATTTAGTTTTTCATGACCCTGAGCCTAAGTTGGTTTTCATTATTCAGCTAACAGGGCTCCCACATGGGTCCTATTAGCTTAATAATAAAAAGTCTCCACATCCAGCGAGCTGCCTTTCCTACAAAGCTTCTTCCCCTTTGGAACATCTGTCTCCCTGGCTTGACAACTAGGGTCTGACAGAATTAGTTCCAATCTGAAGATCTCATGTCTGTAGTGGTAGCTTGCCTGCCCCCCCCCCCACAGCTCACCACCATGACTGGTGTGTCCATGCCATGCATGTTGCTATAAATATACAGACATGAGATGTAGCCACACATCCAACTACAAACATAAACAGAGACACAGACACAAGAAGGAAGCACCTAGGATCTGTCATTCTCAGTAACAAAGATACCTATGTTACTCCATCGGCCAGCTCCTATGACAAAATTGGGGTGCTCACTAACTGGGGTGGGCCAGTTCCCACACTTCGGGGCCCTTCTTTCTCACCTGTCCTGAGGAGGAGAGAGGCGCCATTTTCCCTTTCTGGACTCTTTCCTTCTGTTATTGCTCAGTGGCTCCTTTTGTAGTTTGATGGGACCTTCTCTTGCTCTCTCTCTTTTTAGTTATTTAAATTTTTAAATTTCATTTATCATTAAAAAAAAAAAAAGTCTACTATAGAGCACATTGTGACCACCAGAGAGAGACAGAGAGAGAAAGTGAGAAAGCAAGACACCAGGTCCAGGACTTGAACCATGGTCAGCCATGTGAGGATCCAGCTCCTTAACCACTGTGCTACCTGATGACCTTCTTTCTGAAGTCTTCTCCCTGCCTACTTGTCCTCTCTGCTGGAAGTCACAGAATAAGGACTACTCTAGTTTTCTACAAAGGGGGACTAGATGACAAGCCTAGTGCTTCCCATGGCTGGCTGGTGACACATAGCTACTGGAATGTGATGGTTTCCCTCTGGCTGAGATAGACTTTATTAAACTCTCTAGCTGGCTAAGGGGACCCTGCCAGGAACTCCTGTTCTAGATGCTTCTCTTTAAGGAAGTGTGTGTGTGTGTGTGTGTGTGTGTGTGTGTGTGTGTGTTGGTGATGCACTAAAGGAGAAATAAAGTGGAGAAATAGATCAGAGCAGGATGCCCTAGTAAGGGCTGGGGTGGGTGAGGAGCTCAGGGGGTGTGGAATCATAAAGTCAGAATATCGAGATCCAGTTACGGGGGATAAGGGTCCCATGACTGTGAACCGTGTAGTATTTGTAGCTGTATGAAGTTGTCCTCAGTTTCTTACCAGACTTTCTATTTGAACTCCCACTTGATCAGAACTCAGTCTAGGTAGAACCAAGAAATGTACCGCGAGGGGCTGAGGTGGGGGCTGCACTTAAATGCCTCCCCTAAACCCAGCGCAAGAGCGCAGACCCCAGAAGCGCATCCCCGCCACCCACGCCCGGACCCTCCCTGCTCCCTACCTTCTCCGGTGCGCGTGCTCCCTGAGCCCGAGCCGCTTGTCCTGTGGAGCCGCGCACCTGCGCTCCGGGTGCTCTGTCACCAAAAGCGCAATGTCACCCTTTCTCTCCGCGGGGCTCCCTTCCAACCCTCACCTCCCTCCTAACTTACTTAAGGCCGGGGTTGTGACTAGACAAACCGGGTCTGGGGTGTTTCTCCGCCTCCCACTGCCAGTCACTCCCAACCTTCTCAGACCGCACCCGGAGCTCGGCGGCGCAGCTTCCCGGCCCGTCTCGGGTTCAGGAGGGACGCGTGCGCCAGGACTGCCCACTCTGCAGCCCCCCTCCTCCTCGCCCTCCTCCTCCGCCCCGCCCCCTTGCCCACACCCGGGCGGCTCCAGCGCAAACCTAGCCATGCAATTTTGGATACCGCGGAGGGGCAGGGCGGGTGAGACCCCGGGGACCTCGCGGGAACCCCTGGGGCAGGTTGCCACAGACTCAGACGTCTTGCTTTGAAGTCTGGCCTGGTCCGCGCGTGTTGGCGGACCCTCTTGGTCTTGGAGCCTCGTGGAGGATTTAGGCAGAGGGCCTCCTCCTGCCCCCTCCGCCTTCCACCTCTCCCCGGCCCCTCGGACTCTAGACAGACTTGCCTTGTTCGCCGCCCACGTGGCGGCCGCCCTCGCAGAGCTGCACCGACCCGACCTCTCTCCCACCTGAGTCCTGGGAGCCCCAGCCGGCTCACCTCGAGTTCCCGGGACAGCACAGAGCACCTCGGCGAGTCCCCGCGCGCTGGCGTCTCTCCCGCCGACCCGGACTCCGCCCCGCCCCACCTTGCGGAGGTGCGGTCTCCCCTTCTCCCCCTGCCCCGCCCTGCGCAGAGCTGCCCCAGCAGCCCGACGTGAGCAGCTCCGCGGGTCCAGCCGAGCCAGTCCGCAGTCCCGGCCCCCAGGACGACTCGGCCTGCCGCAGGTCAGATCTAGGGAGGGGCTCTCCGGGACGGCCTGGGTACTCGGGGTGGGGGCGGGGGAGCCCCAAGGGCTGGGGCCTGGATGGAGGGAGCCCCAGCTCCGCCGCGGTTTTTAAGGGAAAGGGAATCCTAGTCTCCCTGAGCCTCTGATCTCACCCCAAGGCTAAGTTGGGTCCTGCAGAGCCTGTTCTGGGCCCGTTTCAGAAGACGGGTATCTTTGGGACCTGGGAATGTGGGGTGGCTTAGTTGGTTGGGCCTAGGGGACGCCTCCCTCCCCAGCACATGGTACTGGAGGGAACTGTGGACTTTTAGGAGCCAGGCTTCTACCCCATCAAGGGCCACCAGGGTCACTCTTCTAAAACTTCCGACTGAATAAGTGGCCACGTGGAGCAAGAACCAGACAGGCCTGTGTTTGCTCCCTGGTCCTGTCACTGCCTGAGGCTCCACTGTCCTGTCCTGCAGGGTGGGGAGGGGTGGGAGAGGGAGAGTTACCTGCCTTCCAAGTGTGTTGGACAGTCACCACACCCACACGGCTGTGGAAATTGTCAAGGGCTACTCCCCCACAAGGAGTGTTATTAAGGATGCCCACCTTCCTCTTCAGGCCATCCCCACAGCCCGTCTGAAGCCCATTGTGTGGCTGAGTGGTATTCTCAGTGTTTGGGACCCAGGATCCCAGAGACCTGGTGGGGGGTGGGGGGGAGAAGCAAGACATCTTGCATCTTGAGTTAGAGAAGAACCCCTGTGGCCTTCAGCATTCCCAGCCTGAAGGGTTCAGCTCTCCAGAGCCCAACTCCACACAGCAGCAGAAGCGGCTGCAAGATGGGCTCTGTGGGGGAGCGGGTGGAGCACTGAGTTTTTGAGTTGTGGCAGTGGCTAGTTTTGTTCATTCGTGTAATGAGAGGTGGAGAGTGGGAACGAGGTCATTTCCTGGTCCTTCTGTGACTAGATAATCTCCAGAAGCCCTGAAGTTTGGCTAGGGATAAGGGTTTCCCTAAGTCCTCACCTTTCTCCACCTCACCTTCAATCTCCAGGTTCCTTTTAGGAGATTGTCACTGGCCATAGGTGCTCCTTCTGCCACTCAGGAGTCCCAGCCGGAGTCTCCTGCTGCCTCTGTTTCCCTGTTGTCCCTGGATGGTTGGTTGGCCTTGGGAGAGACAGCAGGAGGTCAGCACTAAACATGAGCACCCCTCCGGAGTCAGCTCAGAGGAGCCAAACTCCGGCTTACCTCCTCTACCACGTTTGCATACACCTGTCCCTTTCTGAAGTCACCCTCATTCCCACGTCTGATTCATTCAGTCATGCAGTAAATGGTTTAGGCCTATTTATGTCCATAGCCAGAAGAGGAAACCACAGATCAGCTCGGATAAGTGTGTTGCCAAAGATCTCGCAGTGGACTGGCAGCGGCGCTGAGACTTCAGCACAGTCTCTGGGCCCCCAAGCAAGGCTCTGTCCAAGGAACACGCTCTGTGGGAAGCTGGGCCAAAGCGAGGTTTCCAACGAGTCTTAGAAAGTAAAGTCCATGAAGGCAAGGACTTCTTTTTGCTTTGCTCATCACTTAATGTCCAGACCCTAGGTCAGTGCCCGGCACATCGTGTCCTTATCAAGTATTTGTTGAACTAAAGAAAGAATTTTGGGAGAGGGTGAGTCTGTTGCTTTTGGCTCAGCCCAGACCTTGATTCACACGGGTCTGCCAAGGCCTTGGCCTGATTCTCCTGAACATCTGGGCTCATTCTCTCTGTCCTCCCTTTTTCTAGGGTCTCCATTTGAGGTTATTCTAACACCTAAGCCCCTATTACCATTTTCATCATGGGCTTCCACCTGGCTCTGGTGTGGACACTCCTGGTTGGGCCATGGAATGTCATAGGTGAGTGAAAACTGAAGTAGAGGCATATTAGGACCAGAGGGACCCAGCACGTCTGGGCTCCCCTGAGGACAAGAGCCGCGTCATATCCATCTCTGTACCTTTAGTCTCTAACTCAGAACCCTGTTAGAAATGACGTCGGTGTTCATTTCTAGCTGTTGAGACAATGAATGGAATGAAAATTATTCACAAATGCACGGACTTAGGGAGCCCTTAATAGTTGTGTCAGGACTTCCTATGTAATTCCTTAAAGTTTGGGGGAGGTCCTTTCTCTCTCCTCTATCTTCTCTCTCTTTCTGTAAAGTAAGGACCTCTGACTCAAAGTAGGAAGAGATTATTAGACACACAAGAAACTGAAGGCTTTGGGGGTCAGATTGGGCCCAAAGCTGATGGGGAATCACCAGTGTTTTAAAACAATATGGACATGGGATGCGAAGATGATGCAGTGGTTACATTGCTGGACTCTCACGTAGTTGACCGTGGTTCAAGCCCCGGATCCGATGACTTAAAACTCATGCCAGGCATGTTTGTGTGCCCAAGATCCCAAGTGAAGAATGGAGGAGACGGAATTGCAGATACCCTCCAGGGGTGGTTTTTCACTTTCTGTCTCTGCAGCAAGCACACACACCCTATAGCAAAAACATATCTCTAAAAAAAAAAAAAAAAACCAGAACCAAAACACAAACAATATAATCCACATGAGTTTTATGTTGCTACCTGCAGCTTGAGACATTCTCTTACTAGAATCTGAGGCCTCTGTCTGTAGTCTGGGTCTCTAAGGAAGCAAGTGGATTTAGGGTGCTACAGGTCAGTTAAAAAGAGCAAGTACTGGGACCAGCAGTTAGCGTAATGGCTATGTTGCTGAACTCCCATGTAGTCGACTGCAGTTCGAGTCCCAGACCTGGTGGCTTAAATGCATACCAGGCACGAGTGCATGTGTGCCCAAGATCCTGAGAGGAGAATGGAGGAGAAGGGATTGTGGCATGGCCATGCCCCCCTGGGGGGTGATTTCTCACTTTCTGTCTCTCTGTTTCTCTCTGTCTTTCTGGTGAGCGTAACCGCCCTATAGCAAAAACCTCTAAAAAAAAAAAGCAAGTCAGGATGAGAGATGCAAAAGCAGAAAGCAGAGAAAACCTGTGGAGCGGTCTGTGTGGCTTCAGGTGACACAGCCCCTGCTGCTTCTCCCTTGCAGATTCTCATATCAGCATTCCTTCTAGCCCTCTCCTGCCCTTGGCCTTGGCTTTTTCTTTCTCCCCAGCTCTTGCCTCTGACCCCCATGAAACCCTCTCTCTGTGCCCTCCCTGAAGGGCTCCCTCCCACCTCCCACCAGTTCCTCTTATTTTAGAAATCACATGTATGTGTCTGCCCTAATCCCTGGGCCAGGTCCTGAATCCTTGGCTGGGTTCTTTGCTCAAACAACAGGGCCTGAGTCATTTTCCCCTCTCTGACCTCCTGGTGAGTGAGTGTGTGAGTGAGTGTGTGACTGTCTGAGCACATGTGTGCGGATATGGGGCAGGGGATAGCACAAAGATCCTGTCCTTGGTCTCAGTGGGAGACAATCACTCCTCTGGATAAGCCTGTTCCTTCCTCTGGACTCTGAGGTGAGCAGAAAAGGAGCCTCAGTCCTTTGGGGAAGGCAGTCATGCTGGTCATCTGATCCACTGGCCAGAAGGAGCCCTGCCTACCCCTGATTCTAGACCCTTCCTTTGCCTCTTCACCCCCCACTCTTCCTCCAACAGGTGGGTGCTCCCTCCTGAACCCCAATGTTGATACAGTAGGCTCAAGAGGAGGAATTACATGGAAGAAAAGAATCCTTAAGTGGGGAGAGGCCAGTTCATCCACAGGACCAGTCCAACCCCTGGTCACACCCAAGTAACTGGGGAAAAAAACCAGAGTAGCAACACCGCACCCCTGCCCTGGGTTCTGCTCCGCTGGACAGGGCCAGGCTCCTCTCCACACTGCCCCTGCCCAGTGATGGTCACAGAATGACACATCCTTTCCTGGTATGGGGTGTGGCTGGCTCTTGCTGTGTATGGTGTCTTAAGGCAGGGGTTGATCTCTGTCCTGCCATGTTCCCCAGAGAACTAAAGTGTGAGGGGAGCAGAAGTTTCTTGCAGCCCCTTCCCCACCACTGCAGTTCTCCAGCGCCATCTTTCCCTCTGAGGCCGCTCTGTCAGCACACACTCCCCCTGCTGTACTACTTTAGTGCTCCCTGCCACATCCTTCCCACTGAGTGGCCCAGTTTGGGCATTACTTTGCCCTGGGTCGCCCCTCTGCACCCTACGTCCCACAGCTATGCTGGTGTCCACTTTCTGCAGCTCCAAGTGCGGGCTCACAGGCCCAGATCCTGCAGCCTGCGTGTCCTCCGGCACACTGACTGGTCCAGCTGGCCCCCTTCCCCACCCCCGTTATCACACAGGTGCGCAGAACTCCATTTCGTGGGAGGTGCAGCGATTTGATGGGTGGTACAACAACCTCATGGAGCACAGATGGGGCAGCAAAGGTAGGTGGGAGCCAAGTGGGGACCGAGCTGGGGGCCAAGGACTGACAGGTACCAGCAACGGCTGTGATTTCTCAGCTTCCATTTCGAAGCTTTTAGGCTCTATGATGTGGAGGGAGGCCTGGGAGAGAGGAGGTCGAGGGTGCTTCCTGAGGTGTCATCCTCCTTTACCCCTGTCACCCCAGGATCTCGGCTACAGCGCTTGGTCCCAGCCAGCTATGCAGATGGCGTGTACCAGCCCTTGGGAGAACCCCACCTGCCCAACCCTCGAGACCTAAGCAACACTGCCATGAGGGGCCCCGCAGGGCAGGCCTCCCTTCGAAACCGAACGGTGCTGGGGCTCTTCTTTGGTGAGAACCTCAGCCTCTTGGGGAGGGAGTAAGTAGGGTCAACCGGACGCCTCTATGTCTGAGAAAAGGTCAGGAAATGAGGAGAGAGGCCATGGAGGCTTTGAGAAATGTGGAGGATGAGAGATGGAGACCAGGACGAGGTAGGGTAGGGGTGGAAGCAGAGGGAGGGTGGAAGATGCATGCTGAGCTGAAGTCCAGTTGGGAATAAGTCTACCGCATGCAGAGGATGAGGGGTAGGGGCCAGGCGAAAGGGGCAACCCAACTCTCCCTGTCTGGTTGTTGGGGCGGTGTCAGAGGCAGGAGATGAACACAATCAGATAAGGACTCTTGTGGGACCCTTCGTCCCCATTGCTCCCAGGACAGGCTCGTCAGGGCAGGGTCCCGATTCAGGCAGAGGGCTGAGGGGAGACCTAACTGGGGCTTCTTGGGCAGCTGACCCCAGGGGTGAGGGCCAGGAGCTACCCCAGCAGAAACACCAGGCCTTTGCTGGCCACACAGGGTGTCCGTTTTTGCTCCCCAGAGTCTGACTTCCTGCCCAGGCTGGCAGGTCCTCCAGAGCAGGCTCCCAGTTGCGTGTTGGAGCTGGTACCGTGGCCCGTTGGCCTAGACATACTCATGGGGCACCTCCCAGTTGCCAAGGAGAAGGCCAACTGGCAATGACGACAGTTTGGGTCATGTAGAGGCACGGGGACGTGCCAGAAAGACAAAGGATGGGGAGGGAGTGAGGAGGTCAAGGCTGGCCCCCATAGAGCTGCTGGATTTTTGGAAGTTTTGAGTGAGGGAAGAGAACGTGGTGCTAGGCAGGAAGCAGAGTGGTCCTCTGCTGGCGCTAGGCCTGCCTCTGCAATGTGGGCAGGCTACCACGTGCTCTCGGACCTGGTGAGCATCGAGACCCCCGGCTGCCCCGCCGAGTTCCTTAACATCCACATCCCGCCTGGAGACCCGGTGTTCGATCCCCACCAGCGCGGGGACGTCGTGCTGCCCTTCCAGAGGAGCCGCTGGGACCCCAAGACTGGACAGAGTCCCAGCAACCCCAGGGACCTGGTGAGGACAGACAGGCAGGCGGCGGGGCAGGGAGGGGGTGGAGGCGAGGCTGCTGGGACCCGGGGCCGCTCCTCTCCCGCCTACAGCCGCCTGGGGTCCCCGACCCCGGCTCACCCGCCCCGGGTCCCCCCAGACCCACCAGGGGACC